CAGAGAACTCCCACGGTAAATCGCAATCTCTGATGCGTTAAACGACAGGCCGGCTGAAACTTTGGCTCAGCAAAACTCCGTAACTTGGTACATTGATATATTAACGCGAGAACTCCTCTCGACACGCGAGAAACTCGCGTGGTATTACAAAATACGCTCGAAGAACGGAATAACTCGATCGAAAATCGAATAGAGAGCGCAAATCCGTCCGACAAGAACAGATTCGTTTTCTAATTTTTCGATTTGCACGGACGGAGAGAGTAACACCGGAAACTACGGATGTTATTCACCGGACAAACAAAACCTGCAACTCGCGCATCCGCCTAGAATAGATGCATCAATATTTTCCTCTAATTACACATTCTATCTTCCTATTTTCACGCTCCGAATTGTTCGATAAACGAGTGGCAAGTTTCCGCACCTATAAATTCGACTCCTACAAAGTTAAAAAATTCTTAAATTTAAACGTTACAAAATCTACATATTTTTCCAGTGAAAAACTCTCAATTCTTTGAAAAATTTCAAGATGGTTTATCGGAAAATTGCTGTAAATTATACAGTAGACGGTGTACAGATAATTACAAAGTCGTAGGATTATCACGCGTTTACCCGACCGGTTATTTCCGCGGCTTTTTCGCATTACAATTGCGTGTAATCGGATTATCGATCCGATTACTAGCCGGAGGGCTGTAATTAGCATTACATTCACAATTTTAGTTACAGGCCCGTGGTAAATTTTACTTATCGTTCGGCTACACCGAGCTTCGTGTAAAGTTGCGCGCGCGGGACGCCGCTATAATTGCAACATGATAACATTGATAGCGGCAAGCTTGCCGTAATTAATTTCCTACCGAGCCCTCATTGATTCTTTTCTCGTAAAAATTTCATCCTCGGTACACCGTTCAATATTCAGATACTATCATATTTAAGCGTTATTCATCGATGCTTATATTTATGAACATTCATAAATTTAAGTTGAAGAAATATTTAATTCTTCATTCACTAGATGTTTCAATACATTTATTTAGGAAATATTACGACTGGGTGTTTTTTTGAAAAATAAACATTTGACCAAATATTAATTTATTTTCTTCCTCAATTGATGTATGTATAATTTTCATGCACGTTCTACGTATTTATTAGTACATGTTAAATAATTTACTAGCTTATAAATATTTTATTAATTTGCATGTAGCAAATGGTTGCAACATTTCAAAACACCTGTCGAAAATTTAAATGACTACAATGAAACTTGTCTATATTTATAAACAGTCATAAATTTAAGTTGGAAAAATATTTAATTCTTCATTCACGACTAGATGTTTCAATTTATTTAGGAAATATTACGACAGGGTATTTTCTTGAAAAATAAACATTTGACCAAATATTAATTTATTTTCTTCCTCAATTGATGTATGTATAATTTTCATGCACATTCTCCGTATTTATTAGTACATGTTAAATAATTTACTAGCTTATAAATATTTTATTAATTTGCATGTAGCAAATGGTTGTAACATTTGAAAACACCTGTCGAAAATCTAAATGACTATATAAAACTTATCTATATAAGTAACAAACAGTAACTAAAGATCTTTTCAAATAATAATAAATAATGCATGGTAAGAAAAGAATTTTGTTGACGACTAGCTATAAAGGTTTGCAGATAATCGAGTTAATACAATCGATATTTCAGAGCGATAGATTCAGTGTTCGAACTCCGTACGAAGTTTTAACGAACAGGCGAACAATAACAAGCCATAAGAATACGGGACGGAGAACTTTTTACAAATCGTACAAGACAAGAAATTTTCTTGCGCTTTCTTGAGCTCATCAGCTTTTCGAGTTCAACGACTTTGCTCAGGTTTCTTACGTACGGGTTGAAAACAATGGAACTAGAAAGAAAAGTCGACGGCTTGCGTTCTAATTACAACCGTCGCGGTAACAAAGTGAATTTCAACGTTTGTTTTTCTGCCAACGCTCCTTCATTGACCCGGCAATCTCGAATTAAGGCATCGTGAACGAAAACCTTGCAATAACCAAGTCTCCGCCGGTACGTGCTCGATGGAGAATAATTTCCAGCGAAAACAACCTTTTAATTATTTCGAGACTTTATCGAATTAATTCTATTCCGAAACCACTTCGTTGCGTGATTATTTTTAATCGATGAACTTAATTTTAGTCAACAGATACTGTTATTATAATGTTAGGAGCTTTTATAATAAAACAGAAAGAAGAAATATAGAATCATACTCAATGATTAACTAAAAGATAGGTTTTATTCTGAAGACAATTAATATAAACGATCAGCAAAATTGTATTGAAGTTAAAATAACTAATTGTATGATACCATCAATTTTATAATGGTAAAAATACTGTTATTAATATTAATTTTGTACAACAGTAAAAATATTTCATTTTCTGAAGAATTTATATTCTGAAGATAATTAATATAAATGATCAGCAAAATTATATTGAAATTAAAATAACTGGAATGATACCATCAATTTTACAATAATAAAAATATTATTATTAATATTAATTTTGTGTAACAGTAAAAATATTTCATTTCACTGAAAAAGTATTTCAACTTCAACAAATATCAACAAGTACCCTCACCGTTAAATAACAAGTTTTCCTAATAAAAAGAAAAGAGTTACAACAAAAATAAAATTTTCTTGAAAAGCAAAAGAAAATTGATCAGAGAATGTATACTAAGTTAAATTGTTGGTATACTGTCTTTTCTCCAGTTAATTGTTAAATAGCAAAAAGGAAGATATGCCAGAGCAAGTTTCTTTGCTGGTAATCATGAAATCAGTTGGCTCTATTCCACAGCGAAATATTTGTTCTACGTTAGCAAACTCATGCACGAGACTAAAGTTCGAAAGCACTTTTCCTCGCTCGAACAACTTCGAATTGACGTAAGTTTTGTAGCATCTGCCGGATATTGCATTCTTTGGAAACGTCCTTTACGGAGATTCGAAACGACAGTGGTACATGTCGCTTTTTAAACCGACAACTGCTTCGTACCATTCTCGGCAGTGAAACAGATCAATGCATTCTGCCACGTAGACGCGACGTCGAGCGCGAACAAAACGATTCGATTTTTAAATTTTTAAATGTCTTGGGTATTTTTTTATTTGAAGTCTAAGGATTTTGGAAGACGGGTTTGACTGTTCTTCAAATTTGTATATTTAATAAATTTCTAATTTTGTGAATAAAATTTCTTAAATTTGTAATTTATAAAATTCACAAATTCGTGTATAGTGAAATTCCTATGTTAACGAATTTTTACATCTTCCAATTTCTATATCACTATATTCCCATTTTCCCAAATTTCTATATCCCCAAATCCCTATGTTTCCAATTTCCTATATCACCAAATTCCCACATTTTCAAATTCCCACATCCCCAAATCCCAAATTCCCCAAATTCCCACATCCTCAAATTCCCACATTCTCAAATTCCCACATCCCCAAATTCCCACATCCCCAAATTCCCACATTTCCAAATTCCCATATCTCCAAATTTCTACATCTCCAAATTCCCACATCCCCAAATTCCCACATCCCCAAATTCTCACATCCCCAATTTCCCACATTCCCAAATTCCCACATCCCCAAATTCTCACATTCTTAAATTCCCATATCCCCAATTTCCCACATCCCCAAATTCCCACATCCCCAAATTCTCACATCTCCAAATTCCCACATCTCCGAATTCCCACATCCCCAAACTCCCACATCCCCAAATTCCCACATCCCCAAATTCCCACATCCCAAAATTCCCATATCCCAAAATTCCAAACTTCCGCACCCTTAAATTTCCAACCCTCCAAATACCCAAATATTTACAAAGCAAGAAATGAACGATTGGCTCCCTTTTTCTTATATCACGGTTTTGCTAAAAGGCTCTACGATTCTCGAGAGTGTACGTAGAAGAAGCAGCAACAGGCATGGTCCGTCAAGTATCAACTAAATCAACACGCGATGAAGGATAAACGTTATTCAAATGCGTTGCCTTCATGATACAAAAAATGTTTTTCGTTTAGCAGGTTATTTACTTCGTCACGCACACTTCTGTTAACAGTGTTACTAAATCATTTAACCCAGAATTGAAATATTAAGAAGTGTTTACTTTGACATTTCTAAGGAATTCTTCAGAATAACTGTATTAGATGTATTATTACTTTACTGATATAAAGTTTTATAGCAATTTTATACACCACGGTCTCTAATCAGGATCACAGGAAAATGGTGATCCTCTACGAGTTCAGAGCTGTAGTATTTAACTCACTTTATGAATCAGAATCACTAATCTCTATTGATTAAAACGACTGGAGTTCTCTGAGTTATCTGAATTTAACTAAAAAAACAACCATCGATATACTTAAGTCATATTTGAATAAAAAGTCATATTAAACTGGAGTTCTGTACCCATTTCATAATTTTTACAGTATCCACCTCCATAATCTCAATCTGATTTTGATTGCCAAAACCCTACATCATTCATAACAACGAACATGTGTCATCGAATCTCAACCCCTAAAAATACATTTCTCCAAACTAAACTAAAGAACGTCCACTGAATTAGTTATCAAAAACTCTAGCACAGTATAAACAATACGAATAATCGTACTCGTCGAGTAAAGCACGCTAGCCCCACGCGTATCTCCGTAACGTCACACATCGTGGAGGCCTCGACTGTCATATCGTACAACATAGTACACCCTCGCGAGACGTGTACACAAACGCAACACCGGGGGGTGGAAACGATGCAAGCCGACAAACACTCATGCCAGAATCCTCTTATCCAAACAAAGCAGCCGGAGGTGTGCTCGGTGTACACGTCGCTAGGTTAAACGGTGGAGGCCCGTGTGAACGATGCGGTAACACCGTGAACTCTGTTTCGACACATTTTTTCAGGTGGACCACATGCCGAAACGTCGAGCAACCACCGAAGCGCTGTTCGCGACAGGAACGGGCATTTAACATACACACCTGGTCGGGCCGACCCAAGGTCAGGTCACTAGGCCGCGAACGTAACACGGTGCTCGCTGGTTACTCCACTGGTAGATCCTCTCGGATGACACTGAAATCCTGCTGGCTCACACCTCGATCATCCGCGGGTTGAACAGGCCTGGCCACAACAAGACAACACGACTATCACCACGATCAACACGAACAGCCGACACACCGTGAAAGGTGCGATCCGTAATCGACTACGGATCGATCGGGCAACGTAATCACTGCGGTTAGCGAAGAAACCGTGCGCACAACGACGTTCAGAATGATTCTCATCGAAACGAGCGGAGCAGAGACAAGGGTCGACCTGGCCTCCTCGAGCCTTACCGAAGAACTGGCGGGATCGTGCGCTCGCACGCACCCGCGATCCCCCACCAACGACACACGACACCTATCTGCTCCACCGTAAACCCTCGCTACTTCTTCCCCTACTTTAACCCCTCCAGACCATCCACCTAACCCCCTGCGATCTTCTCGCGCGTGTACACAACCGCGGGAGCGCGGAAAATTCAAAGACGAGAGTTAATTATAACGACTCGCGAGAGAACCTCGCTAGCTCGGTCCAGGGACGGGTTAACGTGCTTTAGAGCCCTAAACGATGAGAAACTTAACTACACCCTTAGAATCGGTCTCGAAATGTTAACGTTAACAATTCGTCCTTATTTCCTGATATGGGACTTTCAGCAAAATTATGATGTGGACACTTGAAACAGTGTAGTTGGGATTTCACTACACTGCAGTTCTGAGGCTGTTAGCAAGTTGACTTTGAACATTATGTGATTCTGGAAACGTTGTGATTTTGAGACTTTGTTAACTTTGTGATTTTGTGTCTCTGACAGTTTGAGATTTCAATATTTAACAAATTTGAGACATTGGAACTTTATGACTTTGTGATTATAGAATTTTTATATTTTTGTATGATTTTGTATTTCTGAATTATTTTCTAAATTTAAAACTTGAAGACCAACTAAAAATCTAAGTCTTTAAAAATTGATCACCATTTTCCTCTAATAACCTAAACACGTGTCTCTTAACGATAATCCATCCCTGACACGAGCCTCTTCGGTGTTTTCATTCGTTACATCCTCGCGTGTATGCACGCTTCCGTAACGAGCAATCGCGATTAATTAATTGTCGATAAACTAGCTATCGATCTGCGAAAGTATGGATTTCATGATGGAGATCGTTGCGAACGATAAAAGGCTAAGGTTCTTCTTTTTTTCTGGCACAGATTCGCGGAGTATAGAACGGTTGTTCAATTCGAACTTGTTCGCCTAATACGTTTTATTACGCGAGTTCGCGAGTAAGTGCGTGGAAAATTGAAAGATGAGGGTTAATTGCGGCTGTTAGATCGAAATTCTCCGACTCTCTTGATTCGTTCATCGTTTTCTGCCGTTCCTCGAAAATGGAAGAGACTCTTTATCAAGACTCCTTGGAGATACGGAGGAAACTAAGAATTCTTAAGTTATAGGACTATATTACTGTATATTTTATGTAAAATATGTAAGTTATTTCATTGATGGTATCATAACTTTTTATGGAGGCTGCATTTTAATTCTTTAACTCAGAGAAATATGTAACATATTCGTTTTTATATATATATGTTGATATATGCAGAAGACGTGTACGTCCAGTATTGTTGTCAAACTCATCTACTATTTTATTGAAACAAGTATACATACATATATGAATATACACGTATGTACACGTGTCCAGCAACCAACCAAAATTAAATATCAGCTACTTCAATGTCGTCTTATAACAATGCAAATTTCTTTAAGAAATTATTATTATTTCTCATAGAATTATTAGAAATAGCATCGTCAATTATTTTGAATTCCTCACCAAACAACCACCAAGATAAAGTTACACTCTGAACTGCAAAGAATGAAAAAAACTAGAAATATCATATGAATTGTTAATTTTTTAAATACCTCCCACGTTCTAACTTACACGGAAAATGTTGCAAAGAATCGACTTGCAAATGCAATGGAAATGCAAAGCAACGTAAACAGCGTATGTTCGGCTAAACTGATGCGCATGTAATATGCATACGTAGGTACGAATTGTAGAATAAGGATAGTCTTTCGTTCGAAAATCTTTTGAATCGCGGGATAGGTTTTCCGTAATAGTGGACCGATCTTTTCCGATTGTACGATGCAATCATGTGTTTCCGCATTTGTTATGTAAATGCGGCAGCACCGATGTGTATTCCTAGGATGTTCATGAACGCGAGGACCTAGATTCGCCACAGCATACGTGATTATTATCAAATAGAACGTGAAACGCATATGGCTTTAAGGAAAAAGACTACTCGATCCTTGAAATTCAATTAACAAACGCTTTTCAAACGTTTTCACGGATGCACATATAGCGATTTACGATATGTAACCGTCAAGAAATATTTGTGTAAGTTTACATTAATTACAGTGGAATATAAATTGAAATTACTGTAATGTAGAGCTGTTTCATTGAAATGAATGAATGCAATTGTATATGAACGTATAGTGGAGAACATGGATTTCCCCAGGGAAGATGGTGATTTAGGGAATGGGAACATCAATATTTGCTGGACTTAGTTTGCAAATTTTCAAATTTACGAAGTTCCGAATTTGGGACTTTGAAGACGTGGAAATTTGGAAGTATGAAAAATTCGAATTAAAAAATTGAAAAATTGAAGAATTGAAGAATTGGAAAATTGAAAAACTGAAGAATTGAAAATTTGTACCTATTTATTTTAACCAGTACCTATTTGCACCTATTTATTTTTAAAACACGCTGCACGGAAATAAACTCTTTCCTATTGAATCCTTGGCGTAACAACGTTTGTTTTATGCGAAATGACGCATAATAGTTCGATTAAGTTAAAATATGACATATTCCGGTGAGTTTCATTCAGTTAACAACCGTTCATTCACTATATCACGTTTGTACGATAAGGTAATTGACTTCCCGCGCACGCGATATACCCCATTAACAAATAATGCTTACAATTATGCATTTCTTTCTTTTTTCTCCCTTTATGTACAAATTAATATCATAACTTTCAAATAATGAATTATTGAAATGCCGACTACAATTCAAACTTAATTTCATTACTTGTTAATCTAATTTCAAATTTAATGATGGAAGACAGAACACAATGGAAGACAGAAAGTGAAACAGAAAGTACAAAGAAATATTTCAAAACTCGCGCCAAATATCAAAAGACACCATTGCAAACACCGTGGAGCAAGGTTACGTAAACGTGTTACAATGTAGAGTGCATAGGTTTGTTATTTTAGCTGGTATCACAGAATTTCGAGGAGATGCGTTCGCAGAGAAAAATGTGGAGATTTGGGAGGGTGTGATACGCTATACGGCATAGAGCAAGCTAGCCACGACTTCATTCCTCACGGCGGCGCGAATCGATAAACGGCGACCATCACGCAACACACAAACCCATCCTCACCAACCACCTCGACCTCGACGTCCGGGTGCACCATTCCCTGGATCGTACGCCACCCGTACGCTACACATCGCGTGTCATTAAAGAGGACAGAGCTTTTGGTACATCCGACTTCGATGATACACATCACAATTCGAAACTACTCTATCTACACCAGTTTCAATTTATACGCCTACTCATCTTCAGAAATTATTTTTCGTGAGAATGTTTCGAACCTTGAACTCTGGAATTTTCGTTTTTTTTGGGGCTCTGAGACACTGCTGTTTCGAAGATATGGGAGTTTTCGCAATTTTAGAAGTGTGGGATTTTTGAATCTTGACATTTTTGGAATTTAGAAAATTAGGACTTTGTTAATTTAGAAGTTTGGGACTTATGAAATTTTGAGACTTCGTAATTTTGAATCCTTGAAACTTTGAAAAGTATCAACCATCTTCAGAAATCTTAAACTTTTAAAAAATTGTAATTTAAAATATTCTACCACTAAAAAAATAGTTAAACGCTAAGTTAAATTTTGATCAGAAATTTTCAACAGAATAATTATAAATTAACTGATAAGTTAGCAGATGGAAATAACGTACATCCTATTAATTTATGAGCCACACTACCTTTCATTTCCCTTTGAAAATTGAATGAAAATCTCCCAATGCTTCGTTATTTTTAAATCCACATGAAATTAACTACATATTTCGCCAAATAATTGCCCACGTTTAACATTCGTTTTTTCCTATAACTTCCTCTTTGGAAATGATGAAACATTTAATGATGTTCCAGCAGAATAAGAAACTTTTAATTGAATAACAGAGTTTTCAATACGTTCGACCTCAACAATAATTCCCCTGATACAGAGTACTTTGTTCTCTTATTCCCTTTTTTTTCAGATCCATACAAAATTAATCGGGGTACGAAGGTTGAAAGTTTTGATCGAATAATATACAGAGCTTTCGGTATATCCAACTTCAATAATCATATAGCATCTCTCTTCCACGCTCTTCCTCTTTTACCTACTGATCTCGTTTCCTTTGGATTCGTACACAATCGATTCACTGGCTATCCCAAAACAATTTCGCGCTTCATTCACACTTTTCTACTTGATTAAATCTTTTGTGAGGATATTAACAGTCCTGCCATCAAATACAACACATCCTTCTCCCTTTCATTATTTTCGATTTCATTCGGTACTCCTATAATTCCGGACTTAAATAACAGAATCAAATGTAATTTATATCTTTTCATCATAGTATATTGTACAATTGTATAATTAGATCTAAAAGCCAGCTCAAATTATTGTTGAAAGATTTATTAAAATTTTCGTGAAAATTATATAGTTGTATCATAAAAGGAATTTCATATGATAAATTTAAATGAATTAATATAAAAATATAATCTGACAAAAAATAATTATTCAGTGAAGAGTTACAAATTTTTTTGCCTTACCTCTTTGATGAGATTTTAAATTTACCGCCCATCATGTCACGTGACGACGCACTATTTTATACGTGACGCACGAATGTGTAGACGCTTTTCTGCTCACAAATCATATTTCTCTTGATTCCATTCATTTATAACTGATAAAGAAAATTTATGATAGAATATTGTAAAGTAACAATATACATAAATAATAACAATGTAGTACAGTAACAATATAGTATAAATAATATTAGGGGAACCGAAAAGTAATCAAAATTTTGTTTGCTAACGAACAACATTTATTTATCAAAAAAATCTTAAATGCCTATCAACAAAATAATTTCCATTATTTTCTACTGCTTTTTGCCAAATTAAAGGCAACTGTTCGATTCACTTCTTAAAAAAAGTCCTTCGATTTTTCATTGAAAAACTTTGAAGTCATCGAAGAAATTTTGAGTACTTTTCGGTACCCCGAATATATATACTATTAAATCTTTTAAAATGATTAGTTTGAAGAATATTTGTAACAATGCATTACTTACAAATTTGCAATAACTGCTTCACTTTTACACACTACAGTACTGCTACGTTGAAGTTGCGGACGAATGCTTGGCGCGAAAATTTAGTGCGCATGCGTGGAAAGTGCATGAACCTGGAAATATAGAAATGGAACGTAAGCGTGAATTACATGCAAGGAGAACGAAATTGAGGAGAGGGGACCCTGATGGCCAATGTTCAACTTTCATTGGCTGTTTCTATGCGCATGTTCTTTACCGCCAATTATAAGAAACCAAAATCGACCAATTATTACAGATTTATCAGTTAATGGAAAGTAATTATTTTTTTATACACACATATCGTTTTAGAAATTTTTACTTTATAGATTTTGTAATTTAAGAAGTTAGTCGTTCTTAAATTTACAAATTTTCAAAGTTACGAATTTAGAAACCTCAACGGTTCAAACGTCGGAGTTTCGACACTTCAAATTTTCAAATGTGGCAATATAGAAATTTCAAGTTGATAGTTTGAGCATTTAGAAATGTGGGAATATCACGTTTACTTACTTATACACTTCGAAATCTTCAAATTTAGAATTTTAGAAGTCTTGAAATTAAAAAATTTATAAGTTGCACTGGTCCACAACCAATCAAAACTGGGCACCGGTTTACGACTTCGCCTCGTCGCACAATGATTCCCGCTCCCCTCCCTGGGGATATACCTGTCCCTATATTCCTAGATCCATGGTAAACTGGCGGACTAGGTGGCGTTGGCGGCGCAGTGAAAACAGAAACCCAAACCGGTCATGGAGGCTAGTTAACGACTGTGCGCCGCGCTTGCGAATAGTAATTTCATCGAGATATTGTGATATTACGCGGACGCCAGAGAATCAACAGAAAGATCGCCGGTTTTAACGAAAATGGGTGCATATTTGTCAGAACCGATTACAAAGAAAGTGTCGAACGACCAAGTAGGCAAGAATGTTGCATTCGGCGCGAGTTCCATGCAAGGCTGGCGAATTAGTCAAGAGGTAAGCTAAAACCCTCGAGCGGCCAGTGCACCGTTACCTAGTTTCGTTTCGGTCAGAGAACGGTTTGCCGGTTCACCGTTTCGCTAGGGTATTACGACATCCGTCCTGATCTATTGCAAACGTAATCCATCTATATCTCGAAGCGCGAAATTCAGTCTATTCGATTCGAGAACACAGGAAATACTGTGTCGAATGTAAGGAGAATATGTGTCTCGAAGTTTCGTGCGTGTACAAAACATCGCTGTTGTAAAATTATTAGCATTCATTGCCATGTTTCAAAGTTCTTCTCGAAACTGAAGTTATCACGATGTAATAATACTTTCGTATTCTTATATGCAAACGTGACGACTTATTATTGTATTTGATACTACTGCGCGAAAAACTTCACAAAGTAATTCTTTTATTTTGTTATTTAGAAATAAAATAATGCAATTGTCAGCGTTGTTTTATTCAGAGTAGTATCTAGTTACCCGTGATACATCCATTTTGCAATAATTATTCTTTAAAAAATAAAATGTGACAGATTTGAAATAGCATCTCATCACTTCTTAATTAAGTATTTATTTTTGTAATTTATTTATGTGATTTATTATATGCGATGCGATTGATTTCCTAATGTATTCTATTTGGGAAAAATAAATTTTGTTATTTGTGTGTTAAATATTCATGTGTACATTATAGTGTCAAATAACCTTATTTATATGGTGCATCTAAAAGGTTATTAAAGTTTATTGTGATATAAAATTGTATATTATGAAATGTAATGCATTTAATATTTAAATGAATTGTAATCTTTATTAGTAATGTTATTACACACATTTGTAATATTATTATTTGTTTGTAGGATGCACATAATTGTTGTATAGATTTTGATGAAAATGTTTCATTATTTGCTGTATATGATGGTCATGGGGGACACGAAGTTGCAACTTACTGTGCAAATAATCTCCCAGATTTTATCAAACAAACTGAGGCATACAAAAGAGGAGATATTAGGCAAGCTTTAATAGATGCCTTTTTAGGCTTTGATGCTACTCTTGAAAAACCCGAAGTAATTAGTATTCTCAAAGAACTGGCAGGAACATCCAATTCTGATAATAAAAAAGATGATGTAAACGAATCTGGTACGTCTCTTTTCATTTTAAAATTATACTTTTTTATTAATTAATTAGAAAAGTTATACCTTTAATGATTAGACCTTAAAATCATTGGTTTATTTCATTTACTTCTTTATATTTAATGAAGTTATCTTCATATATTTCATTACATATAGATGAAGAAGAAAACGTTAATAATTTGTGTATGGAAGCAACTATGCCACTAGAAGAAGTAATGGCAAAGTATCAGTCTGAATCAACTCCTCAAGTAAAGGCATTAAAGAATGAAAAATGCAATAAACGAGCATGTTCTGCAAGTCCTTACCTACGTGGACGAAGAGGTAGAGAAAAAGCAAGCTCTTCATCATCGGGTGCAGGATGTTCATCATCTTCATCTTCATGGAATACAAATGAAACTGATGTAAGTAGTTCCAGCCAACAGTGTGGTTCCACTTTATCTAGTACAATGGAACGAAAAGATTCAGAATGTCCTGGTAACAATGAGGCTGAACAAGTTCTTGATTCAACTACCAGTAATGGAAATGTACATACATCTCCACCAGTAGGATCCACAGCAGACATAGAACCAATAAAAAGTGCAGATATGCCTGATAGTTCTGAGGATATAAACAAAAAAGTTACAAGTCCAGGCAAAATCACATGTGATGAATCAAATGTAAATGAAGTAGAATTAAATGGTGCAGAATCAAAACGAATTGGAGATGCTGATAGTAGTAAAGGTGGAGGTGACAATGTCTCTAGCAGTTCATGTACTCCTGTTGAAAATGGAGATGCAGGACAGCAAGAACGAATAAGCAGTACTGGTAGAAGAAGGATTCAGCCCATAACATTATATCATAATCTTCTTAAAAAGGGTAGCGAAGATTCTGAAGAAGATGATGATGACGATGAAAATGATATAACATTTGATGGAGTTCCAGAAAGGTAGAAACCTTTAATTCCTCAGACCTTCTCTTCCTTTTAAAAATTAAAGTTATCACTGGTATATTTTACATTAACTTCATCAACATAGTTTTAGTGATGAAGATGACACAGAAGACATAGATGAAGATGAAAGTGATGAAGATGAAGAAGATGAAGATGGAGATGGCAATATTGATGATGATGACGATGAAGATGATGATAGTGAGAGCCTCATGATGGATAAAGAAGAGGTATGAAATATCCTTTAAATTGTGTACTTGAAACTATTTATTAATAATATTATGATAAGATAGCATTTCTGTAGTTAAGAAAGATTTAAAATTAAGTAACATAAATCATTAATTTAAACAGCCAGGTTATGATAGTGGATGTACTGCAGTAGTTGCTGTATTGAAAGGAAATGAATTATACGTGGCAAATGCTGGCGATTCCCGTTGTGTTTTATGTAGAGATGGTCAGGCAGTTGAACTTAGTTTAGATCACAAGCCTGAAGATGAACCAGAAATGGAGCGCATAGTAAAAGCTGGTGGAAAAGTTACAGCAGACGGTAGAGTAAATGGTGGCCTTAATTTATCAAGAGCTCTGGGGGATCATGCTTATAAACAAAATACAGATTTACCACCACAAGAACAAATGATTTCTGCACTTCCGGATGTGAGGCATATCACAATTGAACCAGGAAAGGATAAATTTATGGTGCTTGCTTGTGATGGTATTTGGAATTTTATGTCCAGTCAAGATGTTGTACAGTTTATAGATAGCCGTTTGACACAAAATTGTGATAAGCTGTCTACAATCTGTGAAGAGGTATGAATAGTTGATTATTTTCTGTATTACTTTGATGCGCAAAATATTGATTACTAACAGCACTATTGTATTGTAGCTATTTGATCATTGTCTTGCACCTGACACATGTGGAGATGGTACAGGTTGTGACAATATGACAGCTGTAATAGTTCGATTTAAATCACAAACTGATGCTGTAACAAACAGTAACGCTGCTGAGATATGTACTGCTAAAAGGTCATTATCGCCAGCTGTATCCGCGGAAGAAAGCAATGACTGCGTCATACAAGACGACGCGGTGAAATCTTGCAAACGCCTTAAGACCGAAGCAACAATGTGAGATTTGTGTTAAATGTTATAAACTGATCTCTGGAAACAGATGAGTGAATGTGAATTTATGTAAAATTATGTAATTCTATGGAACTGTGAATTTTGAATGGATACTCGATGGTAATCGATACCAGTTACATCAAACAACATGTAAAGTATGTTAGTGCTGGCTATTGGTGGCAGACTGATAAATTGGAGCACATGAGGATGATAATTCGCTGCTTCTGTTTTAATTTTTTTAATATACTGACTTAAAATCCATAACTTTTTAAATTATTTAATTACGCCTACTATTGGTGGATAGTGTATTATACGGTCTAACATTTTGATAACAACGTGTACAAAATATGTAAAACGGTCATACGAACATTCTGTATAATTAATAAAGTAATCGATGTTTCTCTTTATAAGTACTTTCTATGGTAATGCTAAGGTAGATAATAAGTAAGAAGTAAAATCAGTCTAAAATCATTTACTAACACTGTTGACCCAAAGGTCTTGAACTCTTCTTATAAGTCAAAGCCACATAAGATTTCATCAACATCTCATACAACAGCACTCAGATTAAAACTAAAATTTGTTGAAGTTTTAAATTTATCAGTTGACGTTACATGTTTGAATATCATTGACTATTTTAATTCTTTTAATTAAATAAAACTTGATAATACATCATCCCATTTGCTCCATTAACATTTATGGGATATACTCTTTGAGTTTTTAAATAACATCCATAGTAGATATGTAATTGTACATATTTATAAATTTAGACTATAGGATTTATATTTGTAATTCAACACGATACCATTTCTTATTTTTACGAAATAAAGTTTATTTTTGAATCCCTGGGTATAGTGGTTGAATGGATGGGTGAGCGAATAATCTTAAAACGTGTAAACCGTATTGTGTAACAAAGACGATTGTGTACTGCGCGCGTTAGTAATTTGTGATCTTGTACTAAAAGTACTGTTAGAAAAAGAGGGTATGTAGTGTGTCGTGGAATTACTTAAACTGTTTTAAATTTCATTTGGAATTTCTCATAGTATCAAAAGTGTTCTGTAAATTAATAATAACGTAAGAAAAATATTTATTTATGAAGTAAAAACAATAAAATAATGACTTAAAGATATTTACACGCACGCGAACGATTTGAAAATAAAAAATTAATAGGATATATGTATTAGAAATAAACTAAATTCGTATAAAGAACAATTAAAGAATGAGGACAAGAAAATTATTTAAATTATTTACAAGTTTTTAACAAAGTACATATTTTATTTTTACTGAAATCGTTGGATGTACACTGTGGGCTTACATAGTTTGTCGTCTATACAATTATTCAAATTTTTTTTCTATATAAATGCAACACATAAACAATGAACGTTGTTAACATTTTAATATAAAAATAATACCTTATAAATCTTTTTTATATCATAATTGCAATTTTATTGCAGTACTTTTATCACAGAACAAACATATAATATAATAATACCTGTGCATTTGCAAAACATACAAAGTTTTTATTCAGTTAATATAATATAGCTAGTAGATAAATAATTATATAAATTAATCACTTGCAATGTCTAAGGTTGCTTCAATTTTGTACTGTTATTCACCTTCTATAACTGCTCACATGTAATTGCGGCTGTTAGTAAAGAGTAATTATATAAACGTTGTTTATAATTATGAAGAAAGTAACTTAAGAAAAAAAAAGTAACACTATTATATAAAAATAATCAGTAATATATAAATACTAGAAACAGTACATAGTATTACTCAGAATTAACTAATGTGCCTTTCTGATTCAGGGGTTGAGAACCTTCACAATATGTATGTACATTTGATGCCGTCTTATTAAGAAGGGTTTAAACCCCGACACCGTCTTAACTGCAAACTTCGTCATAAATTTATGTATAAATATCTTGTTTCATAATATATGTCACATCAATTACTTTTTTTTTTGTACTTTTACTTATATTCCTATTTCAATTGTTTTTTGTACACAACTTTGTGTGAAAGTGTATAAACACGTGCTAAGTAGATATTAAATAGATTTATAATTACAAAATTAATATAACAGAAATTTTTAATTTACTGTTAAATGTTCAATTGTTTCTATCTGTTCCATTTCAATCTTTTTTAGGGAATCATACTGTATACGAAGTCTTTCAAGTTCCATAGATTTTTCAACAATTTGTGCCTGTAATTAATATACATGTATGTTTTTTAAAGTGTGTACAATTTAATTTTCAAAATTGTTTTACTTAGCGTTTAATCGTACTTAATAAATAGCTATAGCATACTAAAATATTTTTATTTTTAATGACCTGAATTTGCTGTTTTTGAGCATCCCTTTCTTTTGCAACAGATCGAAGTAAATTTCGGGTTCCGATCGTTCTCATTTTTTCTTTCTCGACTTCATTTGCTAACTGATTTATTAATTGTAAAAATTCATTACAGTTTGATTGAAATTCAGTGATTCCTAAGAAATAAAAATAATGTAACTACTATAATAATTTAAACAAATAGAAATAATAAATTGGAAACTCAAATCATTTAAAACATTTGTATACATAATTGTAAACATAAATTTTAAAAAAGCATAATCCAAATAAAATAAGTTATTCACATGTCTGTATAGCATTAATAATAAAATAAATAATACATACATATAAAGTGAATATTTAAATTATTTAATAACATTTTGTATGTTGAAGCGCTGATCAAAATTTTATACAGAAGCGGCAATCTACGTAGATGGCAGCAATTACCGTAGCAAATGAAAAGACACTTGTTTTACAAAAAATTGATAAACAATTACTGAATTTACAGAAAAGTAAGAAATAATGAAAGAAATAAGTTTCATAAGAATAGTTCTACAATAACATAGTGCATATCAAATCAACAAATAAACATAAACTAATCATGTAACTGTAACGATTTTTATAAAACTCACTCGAAACGAAATTTTGACATTCTTCCTTAAGTTTATTCGCTTGGTTTGCCACTTCTGGCTCTAATACGCGTATTTTGCTTAAATCGTCAATGTAAATTCCATACTTTGCTAAAGAATCAGCCATTTTCTTAAATAAACAAACGATCGACTCTTTACCTAAGAGTCTTAGGCAGTCGCGCTTGCGCGTATTTTCAACTATACTCTTTATTTCAAGAGAGAACCATAATGTTGAGCGACGAGTTTTCGTTCGTACTGCACAGATCCGCTGTCATTAATTCTTACACTTCGTAATCATGAGTAATGCACATGCGCTCTAATGGCAATTGTAACATTTCATATGTATACCCAATGATCATTTATTTAATATATTCTTCTACCTTTCCATCATCACCTTTTATGTCGCTCAAAAATATCTTGTACACCGTATTATAGAAGTTTCCAAAGTAACAAGTGTTTTAATTTTCAAATCCTTTAATTTCCAAATTTAATTGTCTATGCCATTCTATCTTACATATCTGCTTCCTTACACTGTTCATAATTTTTGTTCACTATGTATATAACCACGAAATGAAAAGCAGACTATAGATTGATAGTAAGTGACGATAAAGAGTCCTCTGAACTCGGCTGAGATGCGCGGAGTAACTACGGTTCTTTTGCGAAATAAATTATAGTCTTCGATCTTCGTGCTAGTCACTCACCAAAATGGGGGTACGATAGGGTGTATTTTTTTATCAAGTCGCAAGACATAAAAGAACAGTGAATTGTGCTATTTAACAGGGTTTTAACAATTAAGATGAGACTAATAAATGCCACATAAAATATCATCGCATCGGTTATCGTTTATCACTTGCGTCGTCGTTGAAGAGACGCAACGCTTCGTTCTTTCTCTGTTATATTTTCGATTTGACATTTAACAAAATCAATATACTTTTCCATTAAAATATTTATATCATCGTCACTATTTTACGTTTTGATATTTCGTCGTTGTCGTTCGTTATGTCCGGAGATCATAAAGCTGGAATTAAATACCCTTCGGAGTACGTTAAGCTCAATATCGGCGGTTCCCTACACTATACAACTTTAGGTACACTTCAAAAACATGACACTATGTTACGTGCTATGTTTAGTGGCCGCATGGAAATTCTAACAGATCCTGAAGGTGAGATTTTGTGCAGAAACTGCAGCATTTAAGCATTAACAGGGTGTTCTGTGTGTTTAACAAGCCTTCATTGTGAGATACATCTACTAAAGAATTGCATTTTTATTTGTTAAATCATAGGTGACTTTTTAAAATTTCGTTTCAAGTTTCTTCTTCATCTGACTATAATTTACAATGTGAAATTAATTATTGATCTTTTATTTGTGTACATGATACAAATTTTATTTACAGGATGGATTTTGATAGATAGGTGTGGAAAACATTTTGGTACAATTTTAAATTTCTTAAGAGACGGTTCAGTCCCCTTACCAGAAAGCACAAAAGAAATGGCAGAGTTACTAGCAGAAGCAAAGTATTATTGTATTACCGAATTAGCTGAATCGTGTGAACAAGCTCTTCTCCGAAAAGAAAGGGAAGCAGAACCTATTTGTAGGGTTCCACTCATTACATCCCAAAAGGAAGAGCAGTTGTTAATTAGCAGTACTACTAAGCCAGTGGTAAAGCTGCTTATTAATAGGCATAATAATAAATATTCATATACAAGGTGATAATACCTGTTTCATAGAAATTGTAATTACAATGAAGCATGAAAACAAATAAATATAAAAAGCCTTGTCTTTACAGTACATCAGATGACAATCTGTTAAAAAACATTGAATTGTTTGACAAAATGTCACTTAGATTCAGTGGTAGAGTATTATTTATTAAAGATGTGATTGGATCCAGTGAAATTTGTTGTTGGACATTTTATGGTCATGGCCGTAAAGTTGCAGAAGTTTGCTGTCACTCTATTGTTTATGCAACTGACAAGAAACATACAAAGGTAATGTAGAACATGCATGTATTATATTAAAATTTCAATATATATGCATTCAACTGCAACAAAATATTAGTGTATAGTATAAAATAGTTTATATAACATAAAATATAACTTAAATATAAAGAAGGAAAGTAAAACTTCAATTTGTAATGTATAGGTTGAGTTTCCAGAGGCCAGAATTTATGAAGAGACATTAAATATCTTATTATATGAACACCGAAATGGTCCAGACCAAGAATTAATGCAAGCAACATCGTCACGTGGTGCAGTTAGTGGTGCACCACCTTGTACATCAGATGAAGAAGAGGGTGAGCGTTCAGGCTTGGCTCGCCTTCGCTCCAACAAACAAAACACCAACTGACCCAACCTTGCCCTTTTTACCCCTCCTAATCCAGCGACTCTTAGCGTCGTTCGAGTCCTCGCCCTTAAGACGCGAGCCAATATAAAATAGGGTGTATGAAAGAGGAACAAGCGCAAATTTCATACATATATGCATATATATACATGTATACATGAATATGCATATATATGTATGTGCGTCTCTTTCTCTCTCTCTGTCTATATTTCTATTTCTATCTTTCATGCAAAAACTAATGAACAACGTCGTTAAAATTGGTTGTACGTACAATGAACTACATACCACTAAGTTTCACATCACAGTCTTATATTTGCTTGGTATTATATCTACATATCCTAATTATTTCTCATATCTGAAATCATTTGCAGATATTTTGATTTTGAACGGAATGACAAATTCGTCTTGGATTTATTCATACTTATACTATAAGGAATATTATTATAAAAGGAAAAAATATATAAGGACACGATTTCTATTTCTTATTTTCGCATCCAGAGTTTGAAAATAAGTATTGTTAAGAGAACAGAGATGCAAATACTATTAATGTGCCAAATGTTTGTGTCAGAAGTAAAACAAAAAGAAGTCGAAGTTGCCATTCTATGACTGATGGAATTATTTACTATATTATACTCTTCAACAACTTTTAAGCAGTTATTTAAAGTAATAAATTGAATAAACACCTTATGGTACATAGGACTGCATTGTTACCTGTTATAAGTATTATTATTATTATTATTATATTATTGTAGTTATCACTACTATGTTATTACTATTATCATTATAAATTCATCATGTTTAAATCTCTTTTTTTACAAGAAGCAAATTCTCTGTGTCAATAAATTAATAAAATAAAAGATGTGTTTGCTTGCATTTTTTAACTGAAAAGCTCTATCAAACTGCTTAAAAGATGATGCAGAGTAAACACTGCCAGTAAAATAACTACAACAAAGTATATAAAATTTTTCAACCAAATGCAACTGAAAAATGAATTTAAACTACAGTTGATTTTTCAACCTTGTTTAGTTTTGAACATTGGTCCTTTATTATAAACAACATGGTAACTTTTATAAGCACGTAAGCTTTGTGTTAATTTCTGTATATCATTCCAAAATGTGGTACATTTCTTTTCATATTAATACTTTTTACTTTACTTACATACTTCAACTTATAAAAACAAATAGATACATTATAATTCAATGAACACTGCAAATTAATATAATTCATTGTTTGATATGGTGCAAACTTCTATATTTAATGAAGGGACCATATGTATTCCAATTTCATACCTACAGTTATTTTGCTGTGGGCAAGCTTTTATACAAATGTTATGTTATTAATTATTTGTTGAGTTACTAAATTCTCGAATTAGAACTATTCATTCTCCCGAATACAAGACGATGTTTGTATGTATACATTACAGCAATACGAAAAAAGAAAAACGTAAGATTTGGCAACAGAAGAGTTTAAGTTCCTATAATTTTATGTATAACAAATGAAAAAATTGTAGGTAGTTAGTGTCGTTCATATTCCGTATTTATTATAAACCGCTATAATTAATAAACATTATGTAATATGTAAGTTAAGCTAAATGCAATATATCTTATGTTAATGAAAATATTATTGCTGCTTGCATTTTTCAACCTCACAGTAGAGCACAGTTTTAATGGCCTCCTTTGTCAGGTAAAACCGACACAAGCTTTAACATTTGTTCAAATTATATGTTTTTTATATATAAAATTAATAGAAATAGTTGTTGTCAAAAATAAACTAGAAATTGTACTGATTATTTATGTTTTCTTTCAGGAAACTAGTACGTCCCATCAAAATACATAAGGTAGCCATGGTCCACTTATAAAGTCGACGAAATTTCTAATCTAGCCACATTGTACAGGTCGGCATCGTTTCTGTTTTATAGTTATTCAAAAAATATATCAAAAGTTTTGTCTTGTATCCGGGTGAATTATTGTCTCTTAAAATTTTTAAATAACGTCTTTATATCTTTGGTTCATATTTTTGCAGACATTTATGTTCGGCTAAAATTTTCAAGTACCGTACAATAATTTACGAATTTACAGATTTACTAAAAAAATTATTTTTACATAACAGCAAAAAATATATTAAATAGATCTATTCGATGTATAGGTACCACTACAGCTAAACAAAAAAGATAATAATAGTATTATATGATAACATTTTATGAAAATCATATTAAATTGTACTTTTTGTTTAGGTTTATACTTAGGTAACAATGATAAGATTATGGTTGATTAGTTCAAGCTTTAACATATTTATGTCTGCATACATATTTATTAGGAAAAGACTGATTTGCAGAATATTTTTCAACTTTCATTTGGAGAATCTTACAGAATGTACAAATTAAATAATAAAGATTGTAAAATATATAATGAAACAATGAAACACTATCGTGAACAAAATTAATGATATAAAATATGTAAATATTTATCTGTTTTGAGTGGATAAATTACATTAAATAAAATATTTTATGCCATTGACAGAAGTGTTTTACTATTTAGGATTATTTTATTACAAATATATGTGTACAGGGATGTGTAATTAATAGTATTAACAAGTGTTACTATGGAAATTAGAATTGAATAAGCTATTGTAATAATAAATAATAATTGTAAAAAAATAAATTATAAATTGTTCCTTTATTTTAAATAACTACTTTATTATTATAAGTAATTGCACAAATGTTTTTAATATGAGAATTGAATTAAGTTTAAGATGACTTAATTTTTAACATTTACTTATACTTGATTTAAAAAGTAATTAACTTTTCGTTGTATTTCACGATACAGTGAATATTAAAATATAATAGGTATATAAAAATTTATATGTTTCACATATAATTTTAATTATCTTTTTTTCAGTTCAAGAAAAAAGAATCATTGTTAAGAATAAATTTGTTATATTGAAACAAATTGGATTCAAAATCGCTCGTTTCATTTCAATTTGTTCGTCTTTTGTTTTTTAAATTCACATTGTATGTGTACCAATAGTAAATTTGTATGCCAACATAAAATATAATTATGAAACTATCTTACATTTATACTGTCTGAATATATGTATATGTAAGTTGTATATGTATGCACCGAATTTCTGCATTTACCGCTTTGACATTTCGGACGGTATAATTTTTTTATAAAATGGGTAAGACAAAAGACGCCAGCTCAGACGAAGATATAGCTATAGGTATATTCTTTAGGTGTTAAATAATTAACATTTATTTAATATATTTACAATTAAATGTATTATTTTTGCCTGTTTTTCCATTTCGTTGCTGGGGTTAGTAAAGTACTCTGATAGTAAACTGCGCGAAGCGACATCAGTAGCAAATAATGCCAATGGCGCTTTATAGGAATGTGTTTTGTGGAAAATTTAAAAATCTTAGCGTTTCTCTACGTTTAATTCTATTTATAATATAATAATTGTTGTAATTATATGATATATACTTCTCAGAAACTAGCGATGTATCTCCACAAAAGAGGCATAAGAAGCATAAGCATAAAAAGCACAAGAAGAAAAAAACAACCCATGATGGCAATGATAATTTTAATGATGTTACTGCTGAAACTGAAAAAAAGAAAACATTTAGAGTTAAAATGAAGAAGGATGATGATAAAGGGTAAATAAGATATATAATATATATAAAGTGAAATAGAAAGTATATAATTTGGAATAATGCAAGTTCTAACACCAAATGCAAACATCACTAATAGTATGTTAACAGTAGTAAGTAATATTTATATTAACACATTTTACAGTTTAGAAAAGTCTCGTGAAAAGATGCAAAAGACATCCAATTTGAGTATTGCAAGTTCGAGTACTGCACCATCACCAAAAGCTCCTACGAAGAAAAAAGTTCCAAAGAGTAATAAAGGTAAAGATAGTGGTACTAGCAGTGAAGAAGAACGATGGCTCGATGCAATAGAGTCTGGAAAATTAGAAGAAGTAAGTAATAAGTAATAAGATAAACAATAATTATTTCTAACATTCAAGAGAATTATTTTTTAGGTTGATGATGAATTGAAGAAAATCAAACCAAAAGATCCAAAATTAATGACAGCACGTCAGAGAGCCATGTTTGAAAGAAAGACTGATGCTGAATCAAACCCTGGTGTCGAACAGTTAATGTCCTTACCAACAGGATATAAAGAGAAAGTCATGACAGCTGAAGCTATACAAAAGGCTGCTCTTAAATCATTGAAAAGAAAACAACTAGCTGATGAGAAAAGGGAAAAAGATAAGGTAGTAAAATTATTAATTTATATATTTTTAATTATAATTTCTCATATAATGGACATAAAATGTACATATTTCTTGACAATCTTCTTTGTATATCCCTAGAAAAAAACAATGGAAAGGTTGCTGAAAAAACAAGAATCTAAGGCTTCTAAAGTTATCAGCAAAGGAAAACCTTCCAGGAGGCAAGTTCCTTTAATTACTTACCGCCTAACACTTGAAGGAAGCTCAATATCTTTACCAGTTGGAGAAGAGTTTCCATTACAGCCTGCAAAGGCGTAAGTAAAATCATTAGAAGTTCTCAACATTCAATTAGTAATATTGCTATTAATTATATATATTCTTTTTTTATAGGAAAGAGCCACCGGTGCGAGTTCTTTGCAGTGTAAATCAATGCAAGAATCCAAAAAAATATTCGTGCGCAAAAACAGGAGTGCCTTTATGCAGTTTAGAATGTTATAAGGTTAATTTATCAACACCTGTATGAATTTTAAATTATTGTTTACACTTTAGCATTTTTAATCAACCTTTCCTAGATTTATATTATCATTAACTTGTTCACATTTTTTAGCGTTAGTGGAATGATATATAAAACTAAACAAAAAATAGTGTATTATATCTAATACTTTATTTTTTGAAAAGATACAAATGAAATTTGAGTTAAAAATTTTACTACTAACTTTATAGTTAATTGTAAATACTTTTGTATATACATCTGTATTTATTGAATTATAATAATTAGAATATAAAGTCATATTCGTTTCTACATAAGTATCTATATTTTGTAAATAAGATAAGAAAAATAATGTAACATTAATCATTCATAGAATCGAATATTAACTTTTTGTTTGATTTTTTACTGATAAGCAATAAGTGGAAATTGTGTTTTTTCAAAAATAGAAAATATCCGAATCTCCGTCGTATGCAACTTTCGTAACTAGGACTAGTTTAGACCTTGCTTTCACCAAGCCAAGATACACTCCACCAAGTCGCTGTTTGATCGTCGAACGCACAACATCGCGTTACATATTTGCCGGGTCATCTTTGGTTCATCATTCGCGATGATAACACGGCAATCAACGTAATCTTTTAAAGTACGATCAACCCCAGATCATCTGGGATAAAATGTGGTGGCGCAGCAATTTCATAGTTCTCATCATTTTAATTTCAAAATCTTTAACGCGAGGTGAGAACATTATTTGTGAAGTTTGAAACATTTATATTTGCCTCGGCGGAAAGTGTGAAAGTGCAACGAACCCAATTATACATTCAATGAATGCATTCACTGTAATGTTGTTTTGTAATTGGGAACATCCTAAAACAAGTCTATTTTTGTTTTAGCGTTTTCCTGGTTGCAAATACTCTCAAAAATTCTTTATTATTTAATATTTGAATGAAAGGAAACTATTATCTTTAAATTCAATAAATATTGAAGTGTTCTTATATTTTGCTATATAAAGTGTTTGAGTACATTTCTAATTAAAAACAAATTTTACTGATACAATTCATTCCTTTCTTTAAATATCAGATGCTGGTAATCACGAATGTCTGCGATCTTGTACTGATGAGGCGCTTTCGAAAAAATTATGCCGCTATGACTTCTATGTTGGTGAATTATCTAGTATGATCAGGTGAGATAGAAACCACAGATTTTATTTAGTATGACTGCGAGAGTACACTTTCGAAAAGTGAATTCACCGAAGAAGAAAATATTAACTCTTCTAATTTTGTGTAATCGTTCAACCCTCGAGCAACGTACCTTGCAATGTGCAATTTTAGATTGCTAGTCTTTTATATTTTGATTGTAAAATAATAAAGAGACAATTATTGTATGCTGTTAATATTTCAGGGTTTTAGATATTTATTAACAATGTTGATAATATCAACTGTGAATTTGAAATTTTGCAACAGTTAAACTTGAAGGCTCTATCTTTCACTCAGACTGAACATCTAAATTTCAGTCAGGATGAAAGAAAGATATTATGTAATAAATGACAGTAAATTAAAGAAATTTTAGCAATATGTTATGCAATCATATTCCCGGACAAAGTGCCTAGTCATTACTTTTTAGACAGAGAATATCCTATTTCGTATAAGAACCGGTCAGAATCTCGGTCAATTGTACTGATAGATGTATAAGTTCTACTGTAATCCCAGAACTAACGGTTGACACGGTTGGTTACAGAGAGTGCATCCTCAATTTTTTTTTAATTCAAAACAGGTTTCTGCATCACCGTTTGCTATCACAAACATGCCTACCTGTGCTATAGATAGCGAGGGTAGATGGTGGTATCGTATACCTCGTGCAAATCCTGCAAAAGAAAGAGTAACTGTTATCACGATTTTCCTCTCGTAGAGCCTTCCTTGTCTGTTCCACTCGAAAGTTATAACAGAGGAATATAGGTTTTACTTTTTCGATCTATCTTATTTAATTTTAGTCGATTTCTCTTCTGCTGTTGATTTGCAATTATTTATATTGACTTTGATACAAATTGATTATTAATTCAAATGCATACGACTTTTAATTTTGAAATACAGTTTTTGCTTATCTTTATTATTTCTTGCAGTATCCGTAACAACTCTATCAAGAACGAATTTAAAATAAGTACATCGAACAATTTTTTGGGAATTAATGGAAGAAGTCCAGGTCCACACATAGAGGTAACTGAATATTTAAAAGAATTAATTGTTTCGGTAATATTTTCGAATAAAAAATTATCAACTTCAAATGAGTACTGCCCAGTTTTTTGAATTATGAAATTTGAATATATTTAATGTTGAATATAAAGGTTCCTATGTCGTCCACTGAAATTATTGATCGATTTTTAGGTTTGTCTCGGGGATACAATTGAAGTACTTTTATACAATAGATTAGGATCTGAAGAATTATCTTTACATTGGCATGGATTACGACAAAACGGGACTGCTTATATGGATGGTGTGCCAATGGTTACACAATGTTCGATTTTACCATTTGGCGGTTTTCGGTACAAAATAAAACCGGAAAGAGTTGGTTCATTTATCTATTACGCGCATTTAGGTAAGCAAATAATAGTATAATTCTTTACTTTTTACAATAATGAAGTAACAATTAATTACTGGAAAAAGTGTGATTACATATATGAAAGTTATATTAATTAAATATGTATTATATTTTGATAGTTTTACTTTAACAAACTATATTTTAATACTAATGTTTAAATATAATATTTAAATTTAATATATATTATATTAAATATAATATAATGTAATTAATATATGATAATTCTTAAAAGTGGACATCAGTATTAAAAGAATTATTATTTTTGAATATTCAAACAGTATTTAAATCTGATGTCATTTTCCCGCGCTGTAGAACGAGTTCTACTTCCGGCAGTCCGTGTAGAATTGAAGTAGATCAATACTCTTGGAACCGTGTAGAAGTAAGGTTACACGTTGAAGCTCTTTTTTACGGTGTTCAGAGAAAAATCGTGTATAATAACTAAAAAATATGTTGTGAAGCTTCACATTAATACTTATTTTAAAAGTTAGTTCCTTTTACATTAATATTTGGCAGTTTTGTGGTGTAAAGGTGGAAAGTAGAATGACGTGCCAACAAGGATCAAGAATGTCCAGGTACTTTAAAATATAACATATAAAAACTGATTATTCAATGCCTACGTTTCTCTTAGATAGCTTCGTAATTCTTCCTGTTCTGTTTTTAAGTGATGATTTCTTCCTCCGAAATCGCTTTATTATAAAATTTTAATGTTTAACGAAAGATAATATCCTTTATTTTTTAACCAAAAAGAAAAGAAGGAAATGTCGCAAAATAAATAATGTAACAACTTTGAAGTATTTATTTCTTGTATCGTAAGAAGAAACATGCACATAATTCTTGTATGAGTGATAAATGAACTCTTCCGAATTTTTTCAATCGGCACCATGGGATGTCGCTGTCGGTAGCGCAAGAAAATCGAATGCAGTAAAATACCGCAGTGAAAACTGATGTATGTAACACGGCACGTTCAATTCACATATTATTCCACTTTCTATTTTACAATATTAACACAATATTTGTGCCGCATAGAATCTTTTCGATTTCTTTTCTTTCAGTTTTTATTTGTACTTTTATGATGCCGGTTACCGATAGCTTCCATGCTATGCAACGTTCGACCGTTACACAATTACGTCTTTATAATTTATGAAATACAGAATAAAATTTAATACAATAGACATGGTACGATGAGGTCTCTCTACGTAACCCTTCGTGCAATTATACGTGCAATTATAATAGCAGGAAGGATCATATAAACACAAATTTTCAAGTTCGAAAATTTGAAATCTCGAAATCTCTGTGCACTTCGATGGCGGTGCATTGCTAATGTGTGTAGCAGTCCGTGTGAAGGAGAACTCGTTCAACAAGTTCCATGTACAAGAAACCCATATAGCAAGACTGTATCGAAGTTTGATGATACATTGATGATGATAAATATAGTTATATTAAATTAGAAAATCATTTTGTAAAATATCCTATGATCTACGATTTAATTGAATAAAACGAGATTGGACGGATCGATGTAGTTAAATGAATATTCACAGATACTTCTAAGGTTGCTCGTGCAATGAACTTCCATCTTAAGACACAGATATAATCTGAAATTGAACTGCCCAATTTATCGATGCAAAATAAATGTAAAGTTGAGAAATAATTTTGAAGATACAATTAAATTATATGATTAATTTTTAAATTGTAATAATTGTAAAATTATATAAATGTCGATAAATTAAATTTATAAGATTCATATAATTTATATGATATTTAATATTTTCAACGAAATAAGGATGCAAGTTAGCGTTCCTCGATAGATGCGAAAGTTAAAAAATCATGTATTAATGAACTACAGTACTTATCATTAATCATGAAAATGATCCGAGTATTATAATGACGCTGTGTTATTAGTTTCACAGCAGGCAGACGGCGTGTACGGGTCGTTGACAGTTCGAGGCCCACAGGATGACCCTAGCTTGGAAAGGATACTTCTGTTGTCATCAAGGCCACCAACTCCTCTGTCCTGGCATTCGCACCTACATCCACCTACGCCAGATGTACTTCTCTTAAACGGCCAGGTACTAATTTACTTAATTAACTTCTTTATATCATTACGTGAAATTAAATAAATACTCCTGTTTCGTTAAATTTCCTTCAAGTCGTCGTAATACATGATTTAGTTTATCTTCGTTAAGAAATCACGACTCGAAGAGTTACGCCAATGTATATTCTAGTTTCCCTCGCACAACACTCTACAATGTCGTAAATCAACACAGCGTTAACTTTCCCTCGAGGTGCTAACTATAACGTTATGCAAAAATCGATGCTGGTCATTAACGAGCTTCTTTATTTACAGAGTGACGGAACAATCTTGAGAGTCAACTATGGCAAACGATATTTACTACGACTGGTTAATGCGAACGCATACAATTGTCCTGTACGGATATCCATTTCTGGACATGATTTTCGTGTATCTGCTGCTGATGGGTACGTGGTTCAATCGGTGACAGGCAAACACGTCGTTTTGTATCCAGGTACGTTTTGAATTTTTCTCGCTTATCCACGCATCCCGCATATTCCACGCACGTAAGATATGATCATTGTACGTGCTAAACGCACGCGTGCGCACACTTCTGTGTAAAACATTTTAGCCGATCTAAGATTGTATATCTACATATATTGCCTTATTCTGCTTTTGAATAATCGTGCCTTAATGAAGACTTGAATTAATCACTACACATCGTTAGTATTTTAGGTTTCTCGCAATCAGTATATATTGTTAATGCAATACTGTTAACATTTCAGTATTGTTTGCAAATATTGAGAAACCTGAAATAGTGACGATATGTATTGATTGCCCGAGGTCTCCATAATTATGTATATTATATGGAGCTGAAGTGGAAGAGAGAAAATGAAACTAGGAAAGGTTATAATTAAGAAAAGAATAAACGTCTAGTAAACTCCTAGGAAGATTTTAAATAGTTATCAAAGTAAGAGAAAATTTATAAACACTGCTGTTGGACTCTGCAGTAACGTGATCTATCAATAGAGTATAATATATTTTATAACAACAAAAATGAGTTATAAATTAAAGTGATATAAACTATATAAATATATATAATAAATAGTAGATTAAATAGGAAGATAATCTGTGCACATTAAAAAATTTCTATTCCAACGTTAATTTATGTTTCATAATCGCGGATGTATGGATATTCATGAATTTTGTCCAGATTTACATCTATGTTAAATCACGGAAGATTAATGTATGTAAAATTCTAGCTTTCTGCTTGAAACGATTTTTAAGCGAATATACGTTAAAGTGTAAATGTATGAGAAGGACAACAGTATATCGGAGTACGTTGAAGCACAGTGCAATTCTGTTTTATAACATTCATCTCCAAGGAACCATAGCAATGCTATAAGAACCATAGCCTGAAGAAAGAAAAGGAAATTGCAGACTGCGCAGAAAAAGCCACGACAAAAGCGAAGAGGATGTAACGCGATAAAGAGCGTGAAGGAAAGGGGACGGAGAATGAAAGGAAAACGATAAAGGGAATCGGAGCGATGTACCAACGGCGCTAACTAAGTACGTTCATAGGTACAAGAAAGTGTCTTATAAACGAAGAAATTAATTAATAAAAGAACACAGAGAGAAGATAACGTAAGGCAATATAGAAAAGGAAAACATCGAAAGCAAGAAAGAAAGCGAACTGAGGAACAAAAAACGATGAAACGAGTCGCAAGGTCGTTCGGCAAACAAAGGAGGAAGGGAACGAATAGAGAGTAGACGGCGTCCGGCGTTCAGTGAGAAGAAATGCGAAAGGGAAAGGGGCCAGCATTGGCGTAATTAGATGGGGACCAGAGTGGGCCTACTTCCCCCTCCACAAAGTACCAACTGGTCATCCCCATGTAACACGAGGTATGTAGTATGCAATACGTTGTGTACCTCATATGAGAAGCTATCAAAGCTGCTGATTTCCAAATTTTTAAGTCCCAAATTTCCAAATTCAAAGATTTGTTAATCCTCAAATGTTTAAGTTTCCAGATTCCCAATTTTCTAACTTTCCATTTTTTCAAATTTCCAGATATGAAAATTCTCAAATTGCCAAATGTCCAAATGTCCAAATTCCCAAAATTTCAAAGGCCAGTTGGTGCTGGTGGTTGCTCGACAGAATGATAAGAGCAAGGGGACCTGGCCCACCCCAAAGATAGATGGTAGTTACGCCAATGAGGGCCACAGAGGAGGAGTAGAAGAAAGAGACAGATCGAGAGAGGAAAGGATGAAACTGCTTGGCGCTCATACATTTAGCGATGCGGCGTGCAGCGGTGGGCAGGCTCGTTCGCGCAGACTCGGCCGTCTTCGTATTCTCGCCGGGTTTCCGCAAAGGGAAATAAAGAAAGGAAGGCGACCAAGCGCGCGCGGGTCTCGCGCAAAAATCATTAAAACGCGTGCTCGATTCGCGGCTGCGGCGTCGTTGTCGGCTCGTAGTCGACGATTTATTAGCGGCTACGC